TCGGGTATCCTCCTGCGCCGCGATGCCGGGCGCGATTCCACACTTGTTGATGTTTACCAAGGCAAGGCCGGCCTGGTTTCCACCCGTTCCCTTGTGCGCGACGCGGCTCAGAGGCCTGCGCGGCGGGGAGCGTACAGCCTAGACTGTCGATACGCGGGGAGTGAAGCCCTTGCCGGGGCGGACAGCGCTTGGCGGCGCCGACGCTCGGTTCGGAGTTCAACTCGGCGATGTCCGAGATCACGAGCTCGGACCCGAAGTTCCGGTCTCGGACCCGAAGTCACGTGTAGTCACGTTGATGGTTCGAGTTCCGCTTGCGCGGTGCTCTGCGTGTCTCCGCATGACGGCGAGCAGCAGGAAGGCTTGTCCGAGCCCCAACAATAATCTAGATTCTCTTGACACAGCAGGGCAAGAGGACTGAAGGCTTGAAGCGCGTATAGCGCGGCTACTTGATTAAGTAGGGCCCGCCAAAGGACTCGCAGGATGTCATCGACGACGCGCAGACTCGTGATCAGGCGCCGAAGAGCTCACTGCTATCCTTGGTCAGTCATTGCAGACGGATAATGCTGCGGACTAGTTGTATTGAAGGTTAGGAAGCGTGGCGCTCCTGGTTTTCTATGTCATAAAATACCCCCGACGCGCCCGTTGTACAGTCGCGACGTCGGTGCAGTATATACGGATCCGCCCATACAATCTAGACCAAGTCGACTATATATCGCTTGTTTATGTATGTTTTTCCGCGTTTTTCAGCCGCAGGGCGTATCATTTGTATGCGGACGGGGAGCAGGGTCTCACATCGGATCAGTGGCGGTCCGCCTTGCACTTTGCGCACAGCGCGAACAAGCTGCATAGAGGCGGGTGCGAGATCGCCGCTCGTTTTGTTGAGGCGCATCCGGATATTTACTCATGTGCGTGACGGTTTATGGCGCTTGTCGAGCGTGGGACGTAAAATACGATTGCCTGGGTTTTGCACTGCGCGGTTGTTCGTGTGTAGAGACTGCAAACGTGACGATCGCTGCCATCATTGTGGACATGCTAGTAGGGTGACGCAATTTATTGCATTCTCCATCAAGGATAATGTGCCATGCACGTGGTTGATCCGTTTGCAGATCACGCGAGGGTCACGAGATTGTCACCAACGTTACTGAGTCTATATCGCATGTAGTAGCCGAAGAAAGCGAGCGAGCGCAGCGTATGCTCATCGTTATTGTAGCAGATTGGATTATGATATTAACTTGTCTACGCAATTACATGTTTCTGTCTACGGATTGTCTATACTATGTATACGTAGCGTTCTGATTACACGCGGCTGACCGCTTCCAAGAAATACAACGGCTATATACAATTCGCTTCCTCCTTCACTATATGACGCCTTAGTCCTTTGGGAATACAACATTCTGCGTCGAGTTTTAGCCTCGTGCGAAGGGGAAGACAAAGACAGCTCACGTTCGCGGCCACGTAGAGAAGTTCGTCCGCGGCGGTCTTCGTGCCTCCGACGGCGGCCAGACTTACCACTCCATGCATATTTTTGAACGCGTCTGATGCTCGCAGGCTGGCGTTGGTTGAGAGACCCTTAACGGACGCGGGCGTAGACGCGATGCCGGGAGCAGATAGTTCACCGAATGCGCCGATGGAGATGCGGCCGTGGGCGTTTTTCAGATGCTCTGCGAGACATTCTAGAGCGTATGGGCGGCCTGCCGTGAAGTAGACGATGGCCTCGCAGTACGCGCATTGGGCGCATTGGTCGCTGAATCGCAGCACTGCGTCCGATTTCTCCAGTGCCATCTTGCGGGCGTCGGCAGTCCTTTCGCCGAAGTCGATGCGTCCCATCATGTAAGAGGCCATTGGTAGTTGAAATGAAGTACTTGACGTATTGGATTACTCTACGGCACTGGCTAGCTAGAGACTTACTAGGAAAGCAACGGAAAGGGCGCGAAAGATTGGCAGGCAGCGATGTTGAAGTCGGCGCCTAAGAGAAAAAACGTTAAGCGGCGGGCGCGGAGTTGTACGACGCAGATATATACTGAGAGAGAGTACGTGGCAGGGAGTAGCAGTGCAGATAGGTGTACGAGTCGTCCAGAGGCAGGCGGGACAGGAAGGGACGGGATAATGGGACGTGCAGGGAGTGCGGTGAAGTGTGTTCGGCAATCACCGAGTGCGCGGCATGAATGCCGAGCGGCGCGTGCACCACGTGTGCCCGGCTCTTTGCGAAAACGCCGCGGTGTCCGAGGTTGCGGCGATCACCGGTGGCGTTCGAACAGCCGCCGACAACGACCGCGGGCTCACATGGATCTCTTTTCGTCGGACGAGTTGCGTGCGCTACATCATGGTTCGATCTTGGAGGGCGCGGGTCGCATGAACGCGCTCGCGAGCGATCTTATCGACTTCGCAGGCAATGTATGTGCTCGTTTCCAGTTGTTTCTCTTTCGACGACTAATGCAATATAAGGACGTCGTATTCCAGGCGTAGTTATAGGGTTCGGGACGGGGTGGTAGATGTCTTGGAAAACTCGTTGTATATTTTGCTCGCGCACGGTCGTGTAAAATCGGAATGTCGCGTATATAGTGTAGCTTGACCGTACCATAGGATCTGTTGTTTGATACCCTTTCTAATGTTATTTTTGAATATGAGTGGGCGGTGTCGGTGGCTTTCTCGTCCACGGTTCTTTTTCGAGGTGTGATCTCTTGCGGGCGCAAATTCACGACGACGCAGAAAGTCCAGCACCTTTCCATTGGCGCATGCTTACATTGATGCGTGTTATAAGCAGCCTCGTAAAGAACAGTTCATTACATGTTACATTTCCTCTAGTATTCCCTTGAGCTGATATCGGGCTTTGGATAACTTAGCTCGTGCGACTTTGAGCTCCTTTGCGAGGGTCTTGTTCTAGTTATTCATCAGTACGGTTGAGTGTTGTCGGAGTGAGGGTATTCACTGTTTCTTTCAATCGCTCTCTCTCTCTCTTGTGGTGTCTCCGTCTCTTTTGTTGCGGAAGTCTTGCGTTCGGGTGATTTGGGCTTTCAGTTCCTTCAGCTCGCGCTGTAATGCTTTGATCTTGTTGCCGCGAGTGATGACAGTGCCTTTGAGGTGTGTCGTAGTCTGATCTTCGCTGTCGACATCGATGGGGATGTGTTTTGAGGTACCTGGGTATGGTGGCGGCGCTAACAGGGGTAAGCCTGGGTTTGTCTACTCGATTGCACCCACCATACGTCGTCATCCGTGCCGTCCGTTTTGCGTGGTTTAATCATAATCTTGATGTTGTGGCGAATGAGGCAAGTGGTACACGTGAAGGATGATAATATGTGCCTTTTTGTGGTGTTCATTGGGTTTGATTGTTCGTGTGTACGTGCGCTCAAAGGTCATGTGATGTCGGTACCGCCGCGCACGTGACTCTATCAGTGGATCGTGTTCGTGCGCTCTTCGTCTACTGTTGTTTTTAATGAGAGACGTGTTTCCTCTCGCAATCATTGCAAAGTGGGTGATAATGACGAAACTGCTAATGGTGCGCTGAGAATAGTACATAGCTGATGATTGCACTACAATGGTGGATAGAACTCCTCTCCGTCTGTGCTCCTGCTCGCATCACCTGCTGCTTTCTCTGACGAAGTATCGCCCTTCTGTTCGCGTCGGCGTTGCTCGCGACGTCGTGATAGGCAGCTGGATTACACTTGTCTATTCGCGCGATGAAGAGCTTGTTGAATGAAATCCGCGTAGTCCACTGTGTTCGTACAGTACTCCTCGGCGTCTGTCATCACGAAGTTTTTTGAGCTGACGATATCAAGCGCAGGATTAGTGTGGTGCCGGACGGTCTCTATGAGGAAGTGACAGCTGGTGAAGGGGCAGCGCCGCTTGGCTACATGGTTGGAGCATGCGCCCACTTCGGCGAGAAACGAGCCGCAGTCGCAGATGCAGTAGTCGTGACCGTCGCGACATAACAAGTGACCGCAAGGATCGATGTGGGACGTAGCTGGTGCATTGCACATGCAGCATGTACCCAAGCCGGACATGGATGATTTCTGTAGACTGTCAGTGCCTAAAAGGACGGCGAGGCATTGTCATGCACCCATCCGTTCGCTATCTTGCTCAATTTCTCACGAACGACGACATACTCCCGCATAATATCCTCGTGATCAGCGCGCTCACGAGTGAGTGCGGCATTTGCTTGGTGCAGCAGTGTTGTGAGGTGGGCGACTTTGGCCGATGCTGCTGCGAAGTTGGTGTTCGCGTGAATGACACTGTGAAGCAGGGCATCTCGCTGCGCTTCCGCCGCGTCCTTTGCCTGAAGAGTGCGATCAAAGAGCTCCGAGAGCTGCGTCGCGTGTTAGTTGGTATCGCCCTCGCGAAGTGGATCATACCTGCGACGGTGTTAGGCCAGCCATCGGTCGTTCCTGCTGGCATCTCCAATCGTCTTATACGCAGCGGCGGTGTCAATGGGTGTAGTGCGCTCATTCAAATGACCCACGGCTCTGTTCATGTCGAATGACTTACCATGCTGAGAGACCGCGGAGGAATGGTTACTGCCCAATACTTCGTCGCGCACTCGAGATCATATTTTCCCACCGTGCACACCGCGTCCGCTGTTATGAAGGCATCGAGCATGATACCAAGCGTTGGCGACCGACAAGAAGGCGTCAACCCTTGGTGATTGCTTTTGGATAGATGTTCGCCATGACCCGCGGACTTGCGTACGCGGATGATGCTCGTGACTGGGCAGCATCGCGGCCTCGTGGTTGGACCTGGCCGTCTCCGTTCATGATCCGTGTGGATCGGGGCGGCGTCCGTCTTGCCGCCGTGGTCCGTTTTTTGCCTTCTACGACCACGCTGGTCATCCTGCTCCATCTCTTATCATGTTGTTTGCGTACGGCTCGTACTTCTTGCAATGCTACTCGCTCGTTGTATGAGAGTTCATTGTTTGACATCGCGCGTAATCGTTAAGAAACTAGCCTCCGTCGGGGCGCGGGCAATGAGCATATATTGTGATATCGGAAGTTGTGCATAGTATGTACTCAGGCATGTATCCCTTTCTTCTGAAGATCTTCGAGCATTGCATCAGCGTGATCCTTGGTCCTCGCGCAGAATTCCTGAGCGTCGCTGAGCACCTCGTCCATGCTGATGACGATTTGCGCCGCTGTATTGTCGATCGGTACCTGATGGATAATGGGGACATTGCATCCTGCGACGACGCAGTGAGTCGTGCTATGGGCTACGCAGCATTGCTGATGACCGCATGGGTCCGCTTGAGTTATCGCCGGCTGACGACATACTGAGCATCGTGGAAGGTCGGCTATCGTTTCACTCTACACGGGCGGTTGTTAGCTGGACGGGTCATCGTCGTCGGCTGTTGAGACGCACCCAGCCATCTGCTAAGAACTCGAGCTTGGCTCGCGCGTTGAGGTAGGCGCGTTGGGTCCGCTCATGCGTCGCCTGCTCTTTTCGCAGCGCTTCAGTAAGTACGGTGATGGTGTTCTGGAGTGAGCTGATTATCGCATCTCGTGATGCGTTGTGGTTGTTGTCCATAGCGCAGGTAGGCTAGTCGATGAGTAAGTATGTGTCTGGTATGAGATGAAGGGCGTACCGTTGACGGGTAGCGATGGCGAGTCTTGCGTTTATTGCTTTCTCCGCGTCCCTCTTATTGGCGGGTACATGCTCGGTCGTGCTGTAAACTCTGATAGTCTTTCCCCATGTTCTCACAGGGTACGCAGGGTACATGTCGAGTTTAGACGCCGTGCTGAAAATGAATAGGAGCGTCCTTATGTGGGATGAGCAGGTGATCAGAAGTGGTTCTGACATCGAAGAGTACGGGAACATAATCGGCGGTAGTGCTGGACATAACCTGCTTTTTTCGTGATGTGCATAACACCGCGGCCAATGAAATCCATATGGATGCCCTCTACCGACAGCGAGCGCCCGCCGAGCATTGAGGTGACGCTTTCGAGCTACGAGCCTTAGCTCATAAGCTGTGAGACGCTGAGTTTGCGCGTCAGATAACCGTTCAAGTGAAGAAGTACGTCGTTCGAAGGTGAAATATTCAAGAGTACATTGTCCGAAAGAGTTACAATTCGCAGCGCTCGTGCCCTCCCTCAATTCATGCAGTCGTTCTCCATCCTGCGCTCCCGATTGGCGGTGATCTTGTCGACGAGGTCAGCCTGCGCGGCGACGTACTCGGCAGCTTTCATGAGATGGGGACGAAGATCAGAGAGAGCCATATGCGGCTGCCCTCCGGTAAGAGGAATGATGTCGGACGCGGCGCGGGTGCACGAACGGACGGGACACACTTTGTCCCAATGATGAGAAGCGCAGGGTGGATCGCTGATGCTCCGACGGCAGTTTCGACAAAGGCGCTTGCAGCACTCGCTGGAACATAAGGTATGACCACAGTCCATGACGCGATGGGTCGCTCCGTGGGTGCACTTCGCGCACGTCATGATGCGGGAGCGATGCCGTTCCTGCTCTGTATGTCGGAGACGTTCGAGTAGAGTGTTGGCGACGTACCCAGTCCTTTGCGAGACCGTCCAAGACGAAGTACATGCGGAGTATTTCGAGCTCTCGGTCGTCGATGATGTCGTCCTTCTCCTTGACCTTGTCGATGAAGAACTGCGTGCGGTGGCGTGAGTTTTCGAGATCTTTATCGGTCTCCGCGAGGGTGGCTTTGAGGTCGTTGAGTTGTCGATTGACGTCCAAAAGTGCGGATTCAGCAGCGTTCTTGTCGGCTAACGCTTTAGAGATGATCTCGTACGCCCCACTCTGCTAGAGAGACGTTAGAACGCTTGGACACAATCTCCGTGCGTACTTACAGACGTGAGCTGTTCAAGAGGGCCAGAAGAAGACATGAGGAGCGGTTTGGATGACTGTCGAAAGGAAAGAATCGTGGGCTCACGCAAGTGATCCCCGTCTATATTCCTTCGATGCGAGCGATCAGTCATGACCCGCGCCAAAGTTCGAGTTCGGTACAAGGATTTCGTGGGAACAACGCGAGTTAGAGCTGCTGCTTACCCTGGTTTAGTGTTCGTATGACCGTAGCTGGGATTCGCCGTCAACAGCATGTTGGGGGATTGCTCGATGGGATCAAGCTTGTCCGCGGCGTCTGTAGGGCAGAGGGTATGGCCGCCGTGCAGTCGGAGTGTAGTATTGACCGGAATTCGTTGGTTCACCCTCACGACAAGACCCTTTTGTATTGGAAGTGTATGGTGAGCGACGAAGTTACTCGATAGGGAAGCGTGGGACATCGGATGACAGCAATGCACCTCGTGGGCGCCCTTGACGGAGTCCCCGTTACATCGTGTTCGTCGCGGCGGACATCGGTGACAGATTCACAGCACCCTTCCTTAATCGTCAAAATACAGTGCCGATAAGGTCCAGAGTTGAAGGTGGGCGTGTGCGTGTCATGACTGCGCGGTGTTTCTGGTGCATACAGTCGCGGGGTACAAGTAATTTGTGGCGTCGGCTGGATCGCAGGTCCGCAGGAATCTAGATTTGTGGCGCTCGTCACCATCGTCATTCGGCATCGTGGCCAATAGTTGGTCATTGCGTGTGCCATCAGTCTATTGTCCTCTATTGGGTAGGAAAGTCCCAAAGTCTTTGGCTCCTTCGTAGCGCAGGATTCATTCAGTCTGACCATGTCCGTCTCTGTTTGCACGGTGTGTTTGTGGAGTTGATTGAAATGCCTTCACCCGTGCGACCTAAGAGCTCGTAAGCATGCTCACAGTCCCTAATTTCACATCATCTGCATCTTTCCTGACCGCGACCTGTCATCATGTCGGATCGTCCTTGCAAGCTGACTAGCCTTCCGCTGGAAAGCCTTCTACTGGTCGCTGATAATCTGCCTCGGCACGATCTCGGAAAGCTGTCGGAAACGAACATGCTTTTCGCGTGCTTGACGCGAAGGGAGCGACTGCGGGAGTTCGTAATGTCCCCCAGGTCTTTCGTGGCACTAGAGAAGTGGGTGCACGTAGGGGCTCTCTATCCTAAGATTTGCGCTTGTCCCGGTGCGTGGGGCGCTGCATCGTGGGGTCTTCGTTTTGACGTTCACTAGGGAAACGTTATTGTCGCATAGACATCGAGGATCTCAGCACAATTTCTCCGATTTGCCGTACGTGTTCATTCTTTGAGTATATTCATTTTTAACTCTATGCAGCAAACGTGCAGGAGGACTTTGGCTCTCACGTCAAGAGCATTGTGTTGCCAGAGGAATGGACGTCGAAGACGAGAGCGCTATTTGTCCTCCTCAACCATCTGGCGCCTTCCGGGTTACAGTCGATCAGAATGCGTTCGCATGGCTCAAAGTCATGGTGGACGGGCGCGAGGCAAGCATGGGGCGGGTACGATAATGGGCAACTGTTCGCGCCTATCAAAAACCTCACTCTCGAGTGCCCCAACCTCACGTCCATCGTTTCTCTGTTTTCCAAGCAAGCGCCGTCGACTCGCCAACTTTTAGCTCACATGCCCTTGACTCTGACTCTTCGAGGGGCACCGGCTGACGAAGACAGCGAGATGGAGTGGGGTGTAGGCTTTGGTGGCGGCTGGGGGGTTCAAGCAGCTCCCGTCGTGCAGTGGACGGACGATCGCGACAAGATCGTCTTGCGAACGAGACACCTCAACGTTGAAGTGAACACGGGGTTGGAGCGGGTGCTTGATACCGTGTATTTCTTTCAACTGCACTCGCTCAACGTCTACACTCGCATTTTTTCCGACTGGACGCTCACCCTGCGTCTTCTCCGTGACAGCCAGACTCACTTACAGTCCTTGCGCATATACGGTATAGGATCCAGTATGTACAGCGATGTTTTCGAGGTTATGAGATCTAACCCTTCGCAGGAGGCCAGGTAGACTCAATAGAACCGGTGTTCTTGGGCAGTCTCACCAACCTGCACATCGATTGGGAGCTTCTGGCGATCTTTCGTTCCATGGCAAGGTCCACGGTTGTCGGCCAGGTTACGCTTACGATCCATAAATATGTCGCCGACTATGCGACGGACGCCGAGTTCGACGTAGCCGCGGAAGTGTTGACGACCGACCATTGGTCGGAGATCGTGGTCGTCGAGGATGAGTTCTGGGGAACGCCTGGTGAGCCCTACGAATGCACTGAAATTGTTGACTGACATACTGAAGATGCGATCACTGGTCAAGCGATCCGTCGCGCGGATTTTGTCGCTAGAGCGCAGATGCAAAACCCGCCAACATATGTTACCAACTTTGTTTGAATCTTAGCCGAGTATATGTGCTTCGTCTTGAATTCCATTGGACTGCAGCTCATTATATGGGGTGAACTCGCACCATCGCTTGCGGTGTGCGACAAGAATCTGATACGCCGTCATGCCGGTCGGTGTCTGTTCTCGTTGTATGTCGCGTTGTGGGGTCGCTCGATCTGCGTGAACAGGTCTTGCTTGCGGCGCGTGCGAATGCGAATCCGTTTCCGGACTCTTTCATGATTATTGGCTCGGAAGCGTTACTGATAGGTACGGTTATCCCGCTCTGCCCCGCGTCGCGCTGTCCGCAATGATTGACTATTGCTTCGAGCGTGCATCCGTTTTGTGCAAGGTGTCTCCCGATTGGTGTGAGCTGGGCTTGTGTTGATGTCACTTCGAAGCCTACTTTTGTATTCTGTACTCGGTTCCTTATTCTGACCAGGTCGCCGTACTCCCCTTTTTCGCAGGTGTCGATTAAGAAGCACCCCGATGAGTGCGGATGTCAGTGAGCGTCGATTGAGTTAGCGTCGGCGCGTGCGACTTGAACGATGCTCTATCTGTCGTTCAGCACCATGCTAGGAGCACACGGTCCAGCTTCCGTGCAATCGGTCTTACCCGGCGACGGGCACGCTCCTGCTACAGTGCTGTTCAATTGAGTAACGCCCAGCGATCCTAGGTACGCAATATACGTCGTGTCGATCTGTATGTAGATCATCACCACGCTCTCGGCGCCGCGCGCGCGCTCAACTCCGGATTGTGTGTGTCTTTGTTATTTTCGCAAGGTGACGACACATCCGTGTGAAGAATCGCGCTGTCTTGTAGCGCGGAACGTCTCCCGTGCGGGTGTTCAGTGAATCTGAACATGTCTTTACGCGCCCCGGAGAAGACTAAGAAGATGAAGAAAAGAACGGCCCGGATGCGCCCGAGTGAGTCGGGTTTTGCCTTCGTGCTACGCTTTCAACATGTTTAGTCGAGTAAAGGTCAACCCTCCCTGGGGAGTCCCATGAGACCCATTAGGATCTTGTCCGTAGGAGAAACCTTGACCGCGGATAAGGCTCTCCAGAGAGAGATCGACGACCGGGAGACCACGATTCAGAACCAGAAGAAAAGCATCAAAAGCTTGTCGCGTCGTGTTTCTTCCCTTCGTCATGCAGAAGCCCAGTTGAGCCGTGCGACTGCAGACGCGGAGAAGTGGCGCAACCTTCATTCCAACTTAGAGGCGGAGGTCGCGCGCCTGAATCGTATGGTATGTTCCTTTCCATCTATAGCCTTCTGATGAGATCTGACCCGTGTAGATTGTGGCCGTAAAAGGTCATGTTGCTTCTTTGAAGGGGCTCGAGGCGGAAATGAACGAGGCACTTCTTGGCGTGTAACTGTACACTGTTCTATTGCTTCGTACGCATGCGTTCTTGGCCATTAGGAAATTGTAAGAACGATTGTGGCTGTCTGATAAGCAGACGTGCACGCCATTGGCGCGCAGATGGTCTATTGGGTGTATGAGTGAGTCCAGGTAAGGTAATGGGGTCGACAATCGTGGGTGCGGACGAGCAAGATGTCATCGTGTCAGGGTATACACGGTCTTTTCGTGGTCTGCTGTGCTGCGCGATTGTGCTGTTCTTGTTATTGTATATATTGTCCAAAGGCGTTGGATCTCAACGCTTGCTTCTACAAGTTGAACAGCAAATGTCCGAGTCACCCACGCCGCTCGTACGTTCATCATCTTGAAGGTGGTCTGAATCTCATTCGGTATAGCTACCACCTTACAGTCGGTCCGCGTCTGACCCGTCGGTTATTGGCTCTCGCAGTGCATCTGCTAGTGTGGTATGGTTGAGCCGGGAGCTTGAGGAGTACGAGGGCAGGCTGTCGGCCGTCCTTGAGTCTGTCGGCGTAGCGGAACGAGCTCTTCAGCAATTGGTCCGTCGTTTTTTGTTTCAACTCGTTGTGGTTTGCTCACTGGTCGCGCGATAGGCACGTGCTATGGGGTGCGGTCCATGCTCATGTGGTTCCTATACGACGGACCGGGTCGTACCGTGCGGCCACTTTGTGTGTTCGGATTGTCGTGGCAGACGAGACGCGCAAGGGAGCGGCTTCTCGTCGTCGACTTTTTTTGCGCCGCCTGGTTTGGATGTGCTTTCATGTAAACATGTGACGTGTGGACGGCGTATCGATGGTGTTGCTATACCGTCTAGACAGACAGCCTCCGACGCGCACGCCGTGTCTGTTGCGATGCTTTCTGAAGTTGGGCAAGCGGTCAGAGCGATCCATAGCTCTGCTTGCGCAGTTGCACGGTGTACTTAGTGACCAGCGCACGTATGCTACACATTGTACCTAGCGATAGTGAGAAAGCACGACGTTAAGCACTATACACGCAATGCTCTCAATGCCTACTCTCTCCCATGGCCGTATCATCCCTGGCGCTTGGTCGTCTCCGTCTTTGCCACGTGGTTACTCAGTCGGGCCGGCCCGTTGTTTGGTAGTGTATGGTACCGGCCGGCTCGTGGGTAAGGACGCGCTTGTGTCTTGCTCTCACTGCTTTTCTTCGTTGTTCACCACGTCGCGATCATCCGAGGAAGGTTGTTGCAGGGAGGAAGATGGTGTTCTATTGGAGGTGGTGTGTTCTCTTGTCGAGCGCTGCATCGGTTGACATCGAGACAGGTTTCGCGCGGTCAGGCGTCGAGGAACCCGTTCTGTTTCTCTACGTCTTTCCGCGGGTCGTGAATGCGCTTCGCTCCCTCTCCCTTCCTTTTTTCCGGTGCTCGCCCCTATGATCGTACGACTCTGAGCGGCTGCGCTCGTCGTAGATGCTGCGAGGCTGTGTGGCGGTGCCAGCCATCCCCACGCCCGTCGCCGGCGACCGCGTTCGTTCCATGATGTATTCTACATATGGCGCAGTACATGATTAGTGTAGATGTTCTTGTAGGTCTCTATGCTGCGGTGTATGCTCCTTAGAAAGTATCGTTCATTCTCGCATTTGGACGACAGGGCCACGTTCCTCGACCAGCGGTGGAAGAGCGCTTCGGAAACTCCTGTTGCTGTGCAGATGACGCCATGCTTTTACATCACCTCTGGCAGGACCTATGTTGCAACACACCCTATGCTTATAGGGCACTGTGTTGCAACAATTCCCACTAATTATAAGGTTGTAACTACAACGGTTTGTTGCAACATCTGTTGCAACAAAACCCTACGGCTACCAGTACACTACTGGCCTGTCGGACATTGCCGAGCAGGCCGCCACCGTCGTCGTCGTCACCGAAACCCCGCCGCCACCGTTCGCGACGCGCTCGTCGTCGTCGCGCCGCCGCCCGCTCCCCGACGCGCACCCACGTGCTGCCCGCCGCGCCCGCCGATCCTTCCCACGCGCCTACCGACACGCCACCCAGCCGTTCACCGCCCCGACGCGCGCTCGCGCCGCCTTTCCCACGCTCCGCTCGCCGTGCTGACGGTCGCGCGCGCTCGCCCTCGCGGTCGCACGTGCATCCGCGAGCGTGGCGCTCGAAATCGCGCTCTCGGCAGATGCCGAGAGCGCACCCACTGCCCTCGCGCTCGATCAATCAGCGCCTGGAACGCGCACCCCGCCGCTCTCGGCCGAAACCGTCAGCGCGCACCAGCCGTTGGGCTGCGGATATGCGGCGAATGCCGAATTCCTGCCCGCCCCTCGGGAAGCGTTGGCATCGGTCGACGCGCACATGCATCCGCACGATCGACAGAGTGCGCGGGCACGCCCACTTCCCGCGACACTCATCCGCGAAGATGATGTCGAGCGCGCGACACGTCACGTGATGCGACGCGTGCGTACAGAGCCACGTCAGCGATGTGACGTGGCAATGTAGCGGCAACGGCTAGAGCGCCGAGAGGGGTAGGGATGGGGCGAGGTGGGTGGCAGGCGCTTCGCGGGAGGTGACTGCCGCGTGCTGGGCACGAGCACGATACACCCTTGGGCGTGAGGGTGGTGGCAGCGCGCGCGTGTCGGAGTCGGCGTCGGTGTCGGTGTGGATGTCGGCGTCGAAAAGAGTGAGGGGTGGGAGTGGGGTGTAAAGTAAGGGCGTATGCGTTGAGGAGGCACGGTGGTCGACGCGGGGACAGCGATGGTGGTGGAAGGAGACAAGAAGTGCTGCGCGCGCGGCCGAAATTTTCCGCGGCCAGTCACGTGACCGGAGCCCCGGCACGCCAGGCCGCGCGCCGCTCCCCCACGATCGCTGGCTGCTCTCGATGCAATTTACGACGTCCAGGACTTGTTTAAGCATAATGTAGTGGAGGGGGGCGCCTGGAAATAGATTCATAGTATATCAGATTACCGCTATGTCTCTGTAAGCGACCAAAACATGCTTTAATCCAACCTTAAAGAATGCTTCGCCCTTTATTGCCAGAAACTTAGGTAGGAGCGCGTAGATTACACCAGAGACACGCAATATACGCTTATAAAGTACCTGTAAATACGTTCTCTTTCTTTATCGCCTCCCGAGGTCGGACGAGTTCGCACATTTGCGTGACGTGGGAGGCCGGGCCGAATGCCGATTCACGCTCGTTGTCGCGTTCAATGGCGTCTAGAGATCGCGGAAAAGCATTCGCCGCCGAGATATTAGCGTAGACGTGTAGGGCGCATTCGAAAACGGGGGTAAATGAGTTAAAACATCGAGGTTTGTGCATAGAACATGTCGGTATTGATGTCACTCGCAGCAAAGTAGTTCAATGAGCAGTAGACAAATCACTGCTGCTCAGCGAGTACATCAGTGCACTTCGTGCTGTTCCCAAGTCCCCCCTCCCTGCCTCAAGCTCGAGCTACTTTGCATGTACATACCTGAGTATACTACAATGCTCTGATGTGTATGATAAGTCTCGAAACCTTGACAATCCCTGAATCTCATACTCAAAGGGTGCTTAATAGAGCATGTACAGGTCGAGTTTGCTATAATCAAGCAAGCCCCCTAATGCAGTGAAGGCAAATGCATATACACTTAGATGCCTATACATGATATGTACAATTTCTTTTGAGGCAGAACGGCCACATTAGCTATATATCGCGTTGAGATCATTGCCCCTGCTATGACAGAAGGCAGAGAATATGGAGTTTACTCATTACAAAGGGTAGTGAGCAGCGCATTTTAAGCATCACAGTATATTGGTTTAGTCATACGTCTAGTATTTGCAGCATTCCCGGCCCTACGCAGCGCGCGGACATCCAGATGGCGGCGGACACGCGCACGAAGGGACGCGTCGTCGGCGTTTGCCGGGTCACGTGATTGCGCGGACCAAATTCCGTCCGCAGCCGATCGTGCCCTTTGCCCTCGACCACTACCTCAACCACCGCCCTCTTGCTGCGAGCGAGGCGAGTGCGCGTCTTCGCGCGCTCGCCTCGACCGCCTTCTCATCTGTTCGCCACACCCTCACCTCCCTCCTCCCTCCTCACCTCCCCACCTCCTCACCTCCTCGGCTTCGACCTCGACCCCACCCGACTCGACCTCGCCACCACGTCCACGTCCGCTGGGGTGCTCAACAGCGCCCGTCCGCCCTATGCCCCACCCCCTTTCCTCCTCTCGCCCTCCGCTGCCGTCGTTGCCCTTCGCCGTGGACGGTGCGCGCCGCGCGCCTACGCCATTCCGCACACGCTACCGGCCGCCTGCACTGCACCTGCTTCGGCATGCCCAGCGTCGGTGTGTCGTCATGGAGACATGACGAACACGACGACGTCGGCTGCACGCGGCGCGTGTAAGAGCGCGTCGATGTCGTTGCCATAGCAACAACTACGTGGCAATTGAGGGCCGCGGCAATGGGAACGCTCGCCGAGCGCATGCCGTCCGCTGGACGGTGTGTCGCGGGAGGAGGTGTGGGTCCGCGGATTGGACGGTCCGCCCACGTGGCACGGCCCAGTCTACGCGTCGGCCGAAGCGAACCAGCGCGCAGCGCAATCCGACGAATGCGAGCGGGTACAGGCAGTAGCCGTGTATGCGCAGCTCGACGGCCAGCGCAAGCGCGTGCTCGCTGACCTGCGGGTTGGCTAGCGCGACCTCGGCATCTGCCGAGAGCGCGATTTCGAGCGCCACGCTCGCGGATGCACGTGCGACCGCGAGGGCGAGCGCGCGCGACCGTCAGCACGGCGAGCGGAGCGTGGGAAAGGCGGCGCGAGCGCGCGTCGGGGCGGTGAACGGCTGGGTGGCGTGTCGGTAGGCGCGTGGGAAGGATCGGCGGGCGCGGCGGGCAGCACGTGGGTGCGCGTCGGGGAGCGGGCGGCGGCGCGACGACGACGAGCGCGTCGCGAACGGTGGCGGCGGGGTTTCGGTGACGACGACGACGGTGGCGGCCTGCTCGGCAATGTCCGACAGGCCAGTAGTGTACTGGTAGCCGTAGGGTTTTGTTGCAACAGATGTTGCAACAAACCGTTGTAGTTACAACCTTATAATTAGTGGGAATTGTTGCAACACAGTGCCCTATAAGCATAGGGTGTGTTGTTACAATCATAGGGACAGACCTCTTTACATGCACGGCGCCAATCAATTCTGCGGCAATAGAGATGCTGTCAACCGTCCGAGATGCGCGGCTTCTTCAATGTTCGTTTATCAGGCCGCGATCGTGTATTGTGCGCGCCCTCAAATCTGCAAATTGTCCACCTCTGAACGTGCATCTGACATGCGCAGGCGAGGAACGGTTCTTGCGTCGGTGACGGAAGTGTGTGCACGCGGTGCCAGGCTGAGCGCGGGGTCGTGCAAGAACTCAATGCACTGTTGGCGAGTATGCTACTGCGCCAATCCATCGTTTATGTCAGTGGTAGTTCGAGTGATTAAGTTGCATGCAAGCGCGCTACTCTCAGAACGCTGGCGCCGCCATATGGGTTGCTACTTGGTGTCGGCTGTAGTGGGAATATTTCATCGCATCGGGATATTCACTTGCACGTTGTGTCGTCGCGGGATTCGAGCCATTCTGTTGGTGTACACATTCGGTGGCCCGCGTCGACTGAGAGTTTGTAGGTACGCGGAATGTTGATTGACTGTACGCGGCGTCCGCTTTCTAGTATAAGTCACTCGTTCTGGCATCGGTCGATATCGACACCTCCTCATCTTCGTATCTGTCTGACATTGCCGCGCGCCTCTCCGCTATGTCGTCGACTGATAACTACTACGCCTTCGTATCTCTTGCGTCCTTGCGCAACCCCTTCCGCAGAGATCTAGCAACGGAACGTGGGGAGGCGTTGACGCGGACGCTGACGCATCTGCGCGGCACAGAGGCAGTCTTATCTGCTACCATTTCGTCTCTGCAGGCGGATCGCGATGCAGTCGCCTTCGAGTTAGCCAAAATCTTGGCTCTGCGAGCGCCCGTGCGCCGCTTGCCTGTCGAGCTTCTTTGTATGATATTCGAGATGGTCGCAGGCTTGTGCAGGGACGCGGTCGAGATTGGGCGTGAGGTCGCTGCATTGCGTAGCGTATCCGCATTCTGGGCTGACGTCGCCGATATGACTCCGCGGTTGTGGACGCGTGCTTTCACGGTCCCTTGGCGATCTTGCCAGTCACACCTAGAGCTCAATGCGCGGCTGTCGCGCGCGCTTCCCATGTCGGTGGAGCACACTGTGGCGGACGCCAACGACGTCGCAGCCTCTGCACTTCATCACCTACTTGGCTCTGAAGCGAGGTGGAGTACAGTTGCCTTCCGCGCTTCTTGGGGATGCTTCACCGCCAACGCACACCCGCATCACTACGCTCTGTTAACCGCAGCTAAGCTGTGGTTAGAAGGCGACGCGGATCCAGGAGCGCTGCGGTGGTTGCAGCATGCGGTCGGGCTCGACTCTCTAACTCTCGTTTGTGATGACTCTCGGATGTCCGGTTCGTTTGTGGTAGACGTCCCTGTGTGGCCTCGCTTGACGTCGCTGACTCTGGGTGGTCTACGCGATGGCACTGTTCGGTTCATTACCTCGCTTATCCGACAGTGCGCGTCAGTCGAGTACCTCCGCGTCGATTCTCTCGTCGACAGTGTGGACAACGACATCGACGTGGACGACGTAGCCATCATTAGTATGCCGGAGCTGCGTACGCTCAGACTCGACAACCACACCAGCTTCGTGTTGGTGGTCATTTGCGCGCCACGTCTGCGGCAGCTGACTCTGAACGACTTTGACGACTATCGTCTCGGTATCGACGACCTCCTCACTCTGCTGAGTCGCTCGGAGGCTCAGCCCAGGCTGGAAGAACTGCGGATAGCTCGCGTTGATTCTGGTCTCCCAGACACATCGGGCACACTTATGCAGTGTTTGGAGAGCCTGCAGTGGCTGAGAGTCCTCGACATCGACGACTGCAGCGCGTACATCCAGTCGTTCGGCAGCGAGCTCTTGTTTGACTCTCTGACGTTTCGGTATGGCTCTCCAGTCCTTCTACCTTCGCTGGTCATTTTTGATTATCGTCCATCACCTGGCGGCATGTCGGTCGAGACCGCGGACGCGTTGCAGAGGTTCGTGACGTCAAGGCAGGGACCACATACGGTTGGCACTGTTGGCATTCCTCCTGTCGACGTTACTGTCAGCGATATTTGAGGGCGAGTCTTTGTTACACCCTCCAAGCGATGTCATGTACTAACGGTCGCGACGGTTGTAGATCGATGTCGCTCGGTTTCTGTGCAGATTCGTTGCCGCTGCGCAACCCTTGTGCCGAGCAACCGTTTTCGAGGTATTTGCACTTGCTTGCTTACCGTGACGAACGTTTCTATTCTTCTCTTTCTTGTACTCCTATCGTTTGACAGCACCTGTAAGATTGCATACCCCTCCTTTGCGACGACTTCTTGAACGACGCGCGCCTCCCGTCGACTGCTTGTATGTAGCTTCGTATATGTATCGGATTATTTTGACTGTACTTCTTGTATATGTACTCGAATTCTGCTTGAACTGCTTCGACGGTAATTGCTAGTAGCTCGAGCGAGCCGTACGCTTGATGAGCTCGTCCTGTGGGCCATGCATGTCCGCGGGCAGGTCGATGTTCACTTCCTCGAGCGTGTGGAGGAAGTCGATGGGCCCATCGAATTCCGTGCAAACGCGGTCTTGGACGGCGTCGAAGACCTTGTCGGAGCCGGCACGCAAGAAGGTGTCCTTTAGGACGGTGGAGAACTGAGACCGCCCAGAGCCACGTTCGTAGCACGTGACGGATGTGGCGTCGTAAGCCGTTCCATGACTAGGGACAGTGCAGCGGCGAATGCATGCTACGAGAGGCCTTGAGAGTGGAAACTAATCTATAGGGAGGTCGTACCATCTTCGTGCTCTTTCGCAGGCTTCTAACAGCGACGTCTTATAGCAACTATGTTGTCTATGTCATGTAGATGTCATTTGTGCGTCGGCAATAGCGGCGTGCTTTGAAGTATACAGGCGCACAACAAGTTCAGTGGTATATAGTTTACTGCTACGCTCAATCGACTCGAGACGAGGTGCAATGGCATCTTTCCGAGGCGTGATACTGCGCCTACCCTCCGGGTTTTCGCTTGAGCGGTCTTCTTCCAGCGAGTGACTGTACGCTCGAAGGAGGATGCAAGCAGACTGCGAGATCAACGGGACATCCACTCCTTTGCTAAGGAGCTGCGAATGTTCTCGTGCTTGAGCCTACTGCGCACGCCGGTACTGGTAAACGTCGATACGGTTCGCCTACGACTTGGGATGACGTCGGAATCCAGGACGGATACGCGCGTCTTGTAGTTCTTGAGCCGGTTCCCCAGACTACGGAATCTCAGCATCTCCGCGGGCTTCACCACCGTTGAGGCGTTGGACGTCACCCTTCGAGGGGTTGCGTCTGCCTTGCCCAGCTTTCTTCTCCAGCTCGTCGTCAAAGCACCCAAGGGTCCTACTCTTATGCACTGCGCGGAATTCCCTCGTCTCCGCTTTCAATTTCGTCCGTTCTTCATGTTGCCGTTTAGAAGTGCCGTTAGCTACGCATCGACTTGATCAGGTAGTGTGCACGCATATTAAGCGAATACAGCAAGAATACAGTCTTCTTACCTTCCCACGCAAATGGGAAGCGTATGTCTTTCCCAGTACATGCTCCGTGGCGTATGGATGTAAAGGCGTTATCTTGCGTCCGAGGCATGCCGGTAGTACAATTGTACTCCGAGAGTGGCTTATACGCCTACCTATATGCTCGTCATTTTCGCTCTGGAGTGAAGTCGTCTCCGCGCATCATGGGAATGCCGAAGCGCACGTTGACTGAACTAGAAAACGTTCTCCTGTTATGGCTTGCCGGCAGTATAATGACCCGATATATCCGGTTTGGGTCGGAACTAATTCGGCTTGTTCATCTTTTAGGGATGCGCCTAGAAAGGTTTGACCGGTTTCGGTCGTGATCGAGCGGGGTTATTCTGATTCGGGTTGGCCTTACCGATCCATTCCACGGGCATTCGACGACTGTCTGAATCGCGCAAAAGAAACGTGGTGTGCTCTGTAGCACCCGCACGCCAAGGGATAATACGCTCGTACGAGGATTGAATCGACTTGTTATGCACCTGTTTCGCGGTGTGTCATTTATTTTTTATTTACGGAACTTCTGCCAATCTATACGCTCTTCGAATTTGCTTCTATCCGCTTCCGCCTCGAAAAGGGGTGGTGATCGGTATATATGGGCACGTTTGTCGTGGGGTACACGTACGGACCGGTCGGCGTCGTTTGCTGTGCACTTCGTTCTTCTTTTCTCCTCCTTTTTGGCTGCTCTTTTGCTCTTCCATCATGTCGGAGTTCCTCTGGAACGGTCGGAGGGTTACTGCGTTCGATCTGTGGGTGTCTTCGTGTCTTGCTCAGTGTCACCGGGTGCTAATGGACGATCTCAGAATGGATTTGCACGACTCCATTCTAGATAGGTTCTCCGAGAAGGATCTCGTGTCGTTTTCGACCGTCAACAGGGTGAGCAAGCGTATAGTCGACGCGTATAGTCGACGTTGTTACGATCTCCGACGCGCTCTTCGTCTATGGATGGATATGGAAGACGTGGACCGTTTCCGGACTGTCATGGACGCCCATGGCATCGTCATCTCGGGAATGTTCGCTCTCTTCTTTTTGATGCGGCAGCCTGTGCGTGGCCAGCCGCTGTTGTTGCTGGTGCCTCGTCGTAGCACGTACGAGCTTTTCGATTTCGTGCTAGGCCTTGGCTATATGTAAGTTTGTACCATCTACATATTAGACTGTTCCCTAACGTGTATGTATGTAGCCGATCGCGGCCCAACTCGGTAAACTCTACGTCGTTGAGGGGAGAGAGACACAACGACAGAGTCTCATTCGTACGGGACGCCCTTGAAATATCCGTCATCGTATGCGATTTCGGCGTGACACAGACGTTGTTAGACTTCACAATGAGTGCGTACTCCCTTTGTTCGGACTTTTCAAACCGCAAGCTGACTATCCTAGCTTGTGAAATGAACGCCATAACCGCTTACAAAGCTTACTCTTTCTACCCTCGGACGACGTTCATCGACCGTGCCACGCT